TATGCTATTATTTGATGATATTTTATAGATATATATATATATATATATATAAGATTTGAAAATATTCGATCTTTATTAAAATCTGCAATTTTATTATTATTATTCGAGTTCGACTATCCACGTGTGATAAAGTAGAAAAAACTTTTATCGACACTGATAATTACCGATCGAGTAAAGAAATGTAATACCGATAAATAATCATCAATCGATAATATAACACTCTTTAAGTCTTATTGACCTCATTCGATAAAAATTACAATAATATATTTATCCGCGTGACATCCTCACCATAATTGTCCTTCGACAGGTAAATCATCCTACCTGTCGACCTTGACTGTCAGGTGTCACTACACACGCGGCTCGTGAGACCGGTGCCACCGCCCTTTGTACATGTCGCGCCCTCACTAGATCGGCCCTACGTTGTAGTTATGCCTTGTGGCGCGATCGCGAACATCACGAGCAACGAAGACAGGAACGGCCGTGACGTGATGTAATAAAACGCAACAGAACAGAACGTTCAACGTAATGACGATATCCATCCTTGAGCACCACTGTTCGTTTAGTGCAAATGGTGTCTAGGCGGACGGAAACTCCTCGAACCGTCTTGTAAATGAGTGTCGTCGCGTGAGATTGTATGTGCGCGCGTATGATATACACATATATATCTATGTGTACGTATCTATACGTTATGGTTCCGATTCGGGGCTTTCGTACGCGCTCGATGGTCGAGCATCGTCGCGCACACATCGCCGCACCTACGACATCGGGCGGCGCCGCGAGATCGGCGAGCAGCAATAGCAGCATTGCCACTCATTATTAACGACGACACGAGATCGTCCCATTCCCTTCCGTCATCATCGTTGTCGTCGCCGCTGTCGCCGCCGCAGCCGCGAGGAGGACACGGTGTAGCGGTCGACGGAAGCGGCCGGCGGACGCAGCGGTGGTGCCTCAGTGATCAATGAACTCTGGTTGACGCGTGTTGAGGCGTGCTGGCAGCCACCGGGGCACATCACCGACGGCCCCGGTAAACGTAAGTATAATGTATAATTACCCAGCCCATTTTTCTTTTTCCTATCTCTCTCTTTTTCTTTCTAAATAGATAAGCTATATCTTTCTTCTTCTTCCGTCTCTCCTTTATTCTGCGATTCGTTCTCATGGTATGTGAACCATCCGGATTTTCTCGCGGAAACATGAAGGGCGTTCTAAAGCCCTCGTTGACGACCTATTGGCTTCCATTTTCGGTACGCCACCGCCGAGGAACTCGCAATTATGACGACCACGCATTTTATGTGCGAACGGACGTGCGCGGGCGGCGCGGCGGTGTGTGGCGTTTGCTTATAACCACTTATAACGTGCGGCGAAGCGAGGTGAAAGCGTAAACGTTAGCACGCATTAAAACGTTAACACGCATCTTCCCGCTCCCATCCTCGACCGCGGTCAGTTACGGGACTCGCGTGAGGCGTCTCTCTTTCGTGATGACTCGACGTCGTCCTCGTCGTCATGATTAATCGCGCCTGATCGACGGTGTCCGTTTCTACTTTAATATTACTTTAATCTCGACTCAACCAACTTATCGTCTTTTTCTAGAAGCTGTATACCGAAATTAAAATTGATCTACATTAGTAAAAACGAGCATCGGCTACAATCAGAAATTTCACCTGGATACATCCAGACATTATTTGATTCTTGTTTAACACTCGGAAAATAGCAAGGATAAAACATGTCAGAGTCTGAATACACTCGACTGAACTTTTTCAACGCGGCCCTGAGGACCAATAAATCTAATGCTCGTTTCTACCAATGTAGATTAACTTTAATCTTGGTTCAACTCTCTTCAGCTTTTTCTAACTTTTAGAACTAGGGAAAGATAAAAAGGAAAATTAAAGTTAATCTACGTTGCTTGAAATGGATGTTAAGGCCTGTTTTTTTTTTTTTTTCATTTTTTTATTAACTCGTGGTTAGACATTTAGCTACGGTTCATCACTAAGGCTGCTTTTCTTTTAAGAGACGCGATCGAAAAAACATTCTATCCTTCTTGATATTCTCTGAATAACAAAGATAATATTTGAAGAATAATATTTGTGTCCTACAAGAAAAATAGCCTGAATTAATAATTTTGCAGTGAATAATTTTAAAAGTTTACCAGTTACTTTAAAAGTTACTTTAGTGATTAATCATAGATAGAAAAACACAATTTTTACATTATATTATATTTATGTTAAGTTAAGTGAAGCTACGTCCAAGCCATGGGTTAACCAGAAAATGAAAAATTTGAGTCTAAGAAGGGGAAGGTTAATCACGAAGCTAGCGGTACCGGAACGAGGAAACGATGCGGGGGACTCCGCGTGACTTACAATGATATACCGCAGCGCATTATGTAAACACTGTCGCTTAGCGTCGTTCTCTGACGACGATCGGATAGATAACGATGCGAATCCGAGTTACGAGTACGTCCTGTCCTGTCTCGCGTATCCGCACCGCGTCGTGAGAATGAATCGATGCGCTTTTAAAAAGACGCGTGTACGGTGACAGCCGAAAGTGGAGCAGCGCGTCGGGAATAGAGGCGAGAGACGCTCGTGTCCGCTTCGCTCTGCTTTGCGAGACTCGGGGTAAAATTGGCTCGGATTCTGTTCCTTCTCTCTTTGAATCTCTCCTGTCCCTTTATCTAGAAATAGTGCGAGTTGCGGGATAAAACAAGTATTGTCTCGACACTGAGAAAGGCCGCGTTCAGCAGAACATTTATTTTGCAACTGTGTACAAGTTTTCTTGAGATTAATCTTTTACATTTAAAAGCCAGAAGAAAACATCCAATCAGCGAGAAGAATACTTCCAACAGTCGTAAAATAATTGATTAGAGAAAGGTTTTGTGTTGCTATTTTTGAAATATTCCATTATATTTCTGACATATTTGATTCTGTTATGTAGTCTATTATGATTATCCGTTTCCTGTTTTTAATAAAATCATTAGATCGTTCAACAAGCTCACGTAAGTTGACTATTTTATACGATATTTTTGCAGTTGATCATACATTGTAAATTAATTCTTTATCTGATTTATTTCTTCTCATGAAATATGAAATATTTGAAAACATAATTTCTTATTTCTTCTAATTCTCTCGTTACAGATGATGACATAATACCGACATTGATTGTCCCTTTTATGAAAATACGCATTAAACGATTGTTCTGTAAAACAAACTAAATTAATCATGATGAATGATATAGAAAGTTTTGGTATGAAGGGGGCCGGCTCGAAAATGCCTCACAGTCATTCGACGCCAGCTGGTGTAGACGGAGGTAGTAGGACACCTCCTGCAACACCGCGAAAAGCTGGAAAGATGCTGGCAGTTCGTGTACAGATGTTGGATGACTCTATTACAATGTTTCAAGTGCAGGTAAAGAATACTTATTTCATCCTCAAATAATATCGTATCATATCTCAAATGTTTACGACAATTAAATGTTAAAATACATGAAGGAAATTGCTCAGTAAAGCTCTCAAATAATTTAACAAAATTTAAAATCTTTTAGTTAAAAAAGTTTTAAGTCGATAAAGTTTCAAAAATTCACTTCTTAAAGTACTCTTTATAGAAGAAAACGCGAGAGTTTTTGTTTAACTGAGGTCACGATAGAATCTCTATAAATAAATATAAGTTAAGAATATTTTACGCTCTTGCTCTTGTGGCGTAATATGTTTTTTTGAGACCTTCGTGTGCATTGTTTATGCTCGAGCTAAAATACGCAAGCTATATGTGAAAATGTTTGCCGTCTACTATTCATAAAGGCGACTTCTTGCGCCCTACAGAGACTGTTGCAGGAATAAATGTAAAGTGACATTGAGTGATGTTTGAATATCTTATTGTACCTTCATAATTCTACAGCAATTGAATGTGTGCTCCTCTATTATCGCATTTGCGAGCCTAAGCTACATATCTATCCTATGCGTCTCCACGTATATTTTGTGTGTTGTATGTGTAAGTGCATGTGTGTTAAAACGCCATTAAATAATTTAATTTGAGAGAGCTTCATATCTCTCTGGGATATAATATAATCTTCGTAAAGTATATATATTATTTAATATGTTTGACATTATTATTTTTATATAACTTGAACTTGTGATTCATATCTTTTATGTAATCCAAAAGCTTGCACATATATTAATTCTATCATATTTTGCTTCATAGGCATAGTTAAACCATTTACTTCATGTATTCAGGTCAAGAGTCACTGATTACAAAGCCTTTTATAATCTTCTCCCTGAAGCCATTTAACTTAAAATTCCGATATTCAAGATTTATACTTTTTTGTTATTTTGGAATACCTTAAAAATTTTCATACTTGTTTTAGTATTATGGGAGATTTTAATGATGTTGAAGAGAGCATAGATAAACTGAGCTTGTAAAAATTTTGAGCTTGTAAGCTTCTAAAAATTTTCGAAAGAATCTTAGAATTAATTTTTGTAAATGAGATATTTTTATTATTTAAATTTAAAAATTTTTATTAGCTTATAATATTATGTATTTTTATATTGACAAGATAGTTACTATATATATGTAGTATAGTGTATGCATATACTTCCAGAAGAATGAACTATTGGAGCATATAATGTATCAAATGGGGGATCTCCTTGAATGTGTGAAATATGTATACTCATTTATTGATTATTTATTTACAATGCTTGCAACGTGTTGCTTATTTCTTTAGAGATTAATTTTATTCTAGCATCTTAGCTTTTTACAGTGAAAGTACAATAAGATTATTCTGTACATTTACATAGCATTCGATTACATAACATTTTTTTTTAGATATTTCATATGATAATTATGAAAATATAACATAGTAATGCGAGATGTCGATGTTTTATAATTTAACGAAGTTAATTGTATCAAAGTTTAGTTACATCATACTGCATAAATGTAATTATTTGAAAATTTCAGGCCAAAGCACTAGGTAGAGTGTTGTTTGATCAAGTTTGTAAGCAATTGCATCTTTTAGAAGCGGATTACTTTGGTCTTGAATATCAGGAACCAAATTTTACAAAAGTAAGATGTGATTTTTAATGTAAGTAACATTTTTTAATGAACAATGAAATTAAAAAAAAATTGATATTTACAGTATTGGTTGGATTTAGAGAAACCAGTATGCAGACAAGTTGGTTTATCTCTTATTGATCCGTTATTGAGGTTCTGTGTTAAATTTTATACACCAGATCCTGCACAGCTCGAGGAGGAATTTACAAGATATTTATTCTGTCTACAAATCAAACGGGATTTAGCTCAAGGTTTATTGCAATGCAATGATAACACAGCAGCATTGATGGCTAGTTATATTGTACAAGGTAATAATAATTATTGTATGTTTCTATTACTATTAATTTTAAAACTAATCCTAACAAATTAGATTAATTTAATTATTTCATAATATATTTTAATTTCATTGCCGTTGTTTAATAAAATATGTTGTGATCTATTTCTTTGATTATTTTTGTTTGTAGCTGAATGTGGGGATTATGTGATAGAAGACTATCCAGATCATACATATTTATCAACATACAAGTTTGTGCCTCATCAGGATCAAGAATTAGAACGACGTATTATGGAGAATCATAAAAAACATGCGTAAGAAATATATATCAAAATAAATCAATATTTATTAAATACACAACTTTATTAATGTTTATTAATGTTGAGCGTATCTAATATTATGCCTAATGTTAACAGGGGTCAATCTCCTGCAGAGGCAGATCTCAATCTTTTAGAAACTGCTCGACGTTGTGAATTGTATGGAATGAAAATGCATCCAGCTAAAGTAAGCCATGCTCTAAGATTTATATACTTTGATATTACAAAAACAGTTTCTTCTGTATAAAATATTTTTATAACTATTATTTTGTCCTAGGATCATGAAAATGTTCCACTAAATCTCGCAGTAGCACATATGGGCATTGTAGTCTTTCAAAATTATACTAAGATAAATACATTTAGTTGGGCCAAAATCAGAAAAATCAGTTTTAAACGAAAACGTTTTTTAATCAAATTACATCCTGAGGGCTATGTGAGTATTTAATTTGTTTTTAATACTTAAATAAATTTATTTTTATATTAGTCATTAAATTAATATGTATTTGAATATTTGTATTGTAATCATGTATTTATGTCACTTTTTATTATTTGTAGGGATATTATAAGGACACAGTCGAATTTTTCTTTGAAGGACGTAATGAGTGTAAAAACTTTTGGAAAAAATGTGTAGAAAATCATGGTTTCTTCCGTTGTTCTGTAGTTAAGAGAGTTGTAAGACAGAAAACTAGAGTGCTTAGCCGTGGATCATCATTTAGGTATGTCAAATCAGCTTCAAGAATATTGCTATATTTGTCGAAGAAAGTTAATGTCCAATTTTTTAGTTTTCTAGAGTTTAAATATTTGTAATTAAAAAGTTTGTAATTAAATATATTAAGTTTGTATATCAGATATATACCTTATATTTAAATATTCTATTTTTAAAATATAATCGTATAGGAACTTGTTAAATAACATATGATACTTTGAATTTGAATAATCAAAATATCACTATATTATAATACTTTTACATATTACCAGGTATAGCGGCAAAACTCAAAAACAAATTGTTGAATTTGTTCGAGATAATTACGTAAAGAGGCAGACATTTCAAAGGTAAGTTTCTTTAAGAGATCGAAGAGTTGTTGAATAATTAAAAGAATTCTTGGATACCTATGTAGATAGTGCATGCAGATCACGTACTGTTTTCCTAGTGTTGGTTTGTATCATTGAGATTTTTATTAACGAACGCACCAAACTTGTGAGTAAGATAGGAGGTGGCACGGTCTTGCTTTTGCCGGGATATAAGTCAATACTTACATATGTATTATCCAAACGTTTCCAATTTCCATAGTGGAAACGGTTTATCATATCCATTTTTATATTTCCGTTTGTCAGTGTTGCCTGCTCGGACAGGGGTGGCGGGGAGTCAGGCTCACCATCAGGCACGATAAACCCGAATGATGAGTGTACCCTCTCTCAATAGCGTGATCACTAATTATTTATATTGTTGTATCTAATAATACACAGCAAAGTACCACGTTTCACTGCCCTAACAAGTTTTATCCAATAAGATATTTGTCCATAGCAGTAGATTGTTCTTTAAAATAGAAGATAGTCTATTATATGATACAATTAAAAGAAAAGAAGTTGTTCTTGTATACCGGTAGATTTTCATTTGCTGTGCGATATCGATGCACGGTTGAAGAATGCCTTCATATATTGAACCATCGACTAATAAAAAGACTATAACGCGCGTGACATTAAATTTGTTTATAAGTAAGTTAAAATTACACATTATTACATATTGATATTAAATTCTGCAAAAAAGAACCTTTTTACATTAAGGTGATTTTAAGTATTTATATATTTTGTCTCTTCTAGACTGTTTTTTCATCTTGAAAGCAATAAAATATAAATAAATTTATATACGATCGTCAAAGTTGAATGCATTAAAGTCTAAATATGACGTCTAAATATGATGTGAATAATATATTAGGTATATTTATTTTAAAAGTGCACTTTTCCTTGTATTTTATTTATGCTTTGGAACACGCAAGATACTTCTCTTGTGTTTCATATAATTACTGCACGTATGGCTATTTTCGAACGCGCAAATAAAATTTTCTATATTAATTAATGTTTTTATAAAGTATATTCTATATGGCATTTTTGCAAGTATGACAGCCTTTTTTTACAATTTCATTTTCCATCGAAAATAATGGCTGTCTTCACTATTCCCAAATTCATTGATAGTACACAGTATTCTGTTTGCACCCGCGACAATTCGATGGTTTACTAATTATATATACATTGTATAATTAGTAAATATATGTATATACATAAATATTTGCACATTTAAACGTTTTAAAAGACATTTCTATATTTTATTATATTGTATAATTAAAAATATAAAATAACTTTACGTCAACAACAATAATTACATTGCAGTAAAAATCACTCAACGGCGGTGTTGACCGTGTATCGTATCAGAAGTAGAATCTATTTTTGTTTATCGCATATTTTAAGATGTGGATTGGTACGAAAATCAATATCATCCGCATAATTCCTTGCATCGTAGCGTCGGTTAGTCGAGAAGCATTCTTTTTTTTCATTTCTTTTTTTCTTATTAACAATCATTGACGATAACAAAAGAGAAAGAAGGGATAAGCTAGTTCCAAACACAGGCTTGGCATTTGACAGCCTAAGTCTGATGCTGAACTTGACTCTCTCTTGCTCGCAGGTCCAATTCGTTCCGGCAGACTAGCGGTGGTAGGGCATTGCAGGGCTCGGAGGGGGGAGGCTATCGTGGGGCCACTCCAAGCAGCTCCCTTATGGGCAGCTCCAGCATCTCTGCCCACCCCCTCCTGCCCCTCGGCGATCCTGGTATGTACCATGACCGACACCAACCTCCACAACAAACGCTTTATTTTTAATTTCTTCGCCCTTTGGCTCTATTTTTGTCCACCTGTTTCTAGCCTCAATTCTTTTCACCGTATCATAACTAAAGTATTGTAATAGTAGAGTAGAATAGCGTATCTTATAGATTGTTTTTAAACGGATTTTGTGCCTAATTTTTATTATGTTTATAAGAATTGAATATATGTGTGTATGTGTGCGTGTCTGTCGTGTGTGTGTGTGTGTGTGTGTGTGTGTGTGTGTGTGTGTGTGTGTGTGTGTGTGTACGCGCAAAAATTATAATATAAGAAAATCTAATCTTATGTATACGATTATGATATCATATCTCGTTGAAATGTTCCAAAGTGTATATATGTACGTTCAGGACTCAAAATTGAAACGTTTATGCGTTTAGTTTCATATAAAAAACGAAATAATTAGTCAACTTTGATATCTTGAAAAGTATAGAAACAATATTAACAATTTTTGAAAAGAAACAAAATATAATATTTATATTTTACTTATTTAATAGATGATAATATATACTGACAAATGATTATCATATACATATCAGAATATCATAATATTATTGATTATTATAACAAATATAATATAAGATTCTATATAAAAGTGTCTAATAACGACTATATTATTAATTTACTCTTTATTATTGATATTGAATACTAATTCACTAATACTCGTTTATTTTTTCTTTATTTAAAAGAATAAAAAAAAGAATAAAAAAAGTTAAAATATTATACGTGTGCATGCGTTAAATTCATTTTTTCCGCAATAGTTTTTCATTAATTAAATATTCATTAAAATAATTAACATGACAGAGGCATAATCGCACAAAAATAACAAAAAAATTCTGTTATGTCATATGTGAACGTAGAAGAAAGGAGATTTATATCGTGCGATTTTTTTAGCTCTGGCAACCCCAGCTCAGTCTCTGTCATGCGGTTCGATGACGCTGGATTCTCCGACGACTGTGACGAGTGTCTCGATGGGAGGGACGATTCACCGTCGAGAAGACACAGCTACATCGTTTCGGACGCTCACCTCTATCGACGTCCATTCGCCAGCCACCCCCAGCCAGGTCCCAGCACAGCGGCAGATGCATGCTACCAGCCAGCAACGGATTTCATCAACAGGTCGTATCAGCCCCTCTAACAGCAGTCCTCCCGAATTCCCACTACCACGACCTTTGCCCAGATATCCCTGGCAACGGTCGGCTAGTTGTCGCGAGTTGTACGCTTCTAGTTTTGAGGACTCCGGTAAAGCGCGGCCGCGGGACGATAAAGTCACCGCGGATCTTCCGTTAGATCCATTCCAGTTAGCCTCCCAGGGTGAACTAGATAATCCCATAACACGTTACGACGAAAGTAATCGTTCGTATAGCGCCGCTAGTTCGAAATTACCTTCTCTAGATCACGATTCTGTCCCCGAGCGTGTCTACAGCAGTTCCTACCCAGGAACGTCATCGTTGTCTACTGAATCGGGCCATGAGGAATCGGGTCCCGCTGGAGATCTGTCACATGACGATCTCTCACACGATTCTTACGAGCTTTTGGAACGCGAACATGAATTCGAGTATCCGGAATCGTATTCTAGTCCGCACGACGAACCAATATCCGATCAGAGCGACGAAGGAATCGAGCACGAGATGTTCCAAATGGACTCCGAAACCGATTCCTTTGTCAAACACAGATCATTAAAGCCTTCAGAGAAACAACAATATAGATCCGCATTTACTGATCTCAAGAACTCTAAAATCAAGTCCATCGATCGGTACTCAGCTGTATCTAAAGTAGATAACGATTTCGTGATCACCGAATCTAGAATACAACGGACAGGTACTCAAATAGAACGCAAATTTGAAACGAGACATGCTAATTCCGTGGAACAGCCACCCAAAACGGGTATTCCGCATCAGGATTCCGTTAGAAAAGATCCCGTGGTGATGCAGGTACAGAAGCAAAAAATGTCTGTCTTAAACGAATTGAAGAACTTAAAGCCCAAGTATAAGATCACACACGTAGATTCAGAAGTCTTGCGAGACGAAGGTATCATGCGTCCGAAATCGCGAATTGATGACGATCTAAGTCCGGTTGACGGAAGTAGAACATTAGATCATAGCGCGAAAGGTAGGACGACTAGGGCGCGTAGTATTGCTAGTCTAGACGATCATCCACCGCGGTTATATGTCGAGACAGGTAGTCTAGGTCGAGGTCATAAATCTAGAGATAGGAAATCGAGAGATGCTGACGTTAAAGTCGAGAAAGTTTTGTCAAAGGAACGTAGAAGCATTGAGAGGGAGGAGCGAAAACGGGACTACTCGAGAGAATGCAGACGAATGGATAAGAGTGATTCACGAGAACGTCGTTCAGTAGATCGGCTCGATTCGCGCGAGCGGAGATCAGACAGTCACGGTCGTCGCAGTATAGACCGGACCGATATGCGCGAGCTACGTAGAAGCATCGAGCGGCTTGATGTGCGCGAAAGGAGTTACGAGCACCTAGACTCAAGGGAAAAGAGTGCCTTTTATTACAATGATTTCTATGAATCGCGCGGTAAGAGTGTCGATCGTTTAGATTCTCAAGGGCTGCGCAGCAGCATGGAGCATTTAAAGAGTCCTAAAGAGAAGAGCAATCATCGGCATTTAGAGCGTCGGGAGAAAAGTATCGAACGGATCGATTCTCGGGAAACGAGGAAGAGTAGAGCTGCTTCTATCGATTACGATGCAAGGCATACTTTAGAACGCTTTGATTCCGACAATAGAAGCCCATTCGAGCGATTGACTCCGAAAGAGCAACGGAGGATGAGCATAGAGAGACTCGATTCTCAAAAGTTCGACTTCGATCCACGAGCGATCGAACGTTTGAAATCTTTGGAACGTTATGAACAAAGAGAACGAACCTATGAGAGAAGGATCGAATCAAGAAGCGCTGAGCGAAAGAGTCTAGAGAAGCTAGATTCTCGTGAGCGAAAATACTTAGGACGCTTAGAATCACGGGAGGGAAGGAGTCTCGAGTGCTTGGACTTCGACAGTGTAGACCGTAGAAAAAATATCGAAAGAATGGAACATAAAGATCAAAAGAAGACCAGGAGCAAACTCGAGAAAAGCAAACTGGAAGAAAAACCGCGGGAACGTGATGATTGGAGGAGTTTGGAGAAAGCACGGAAAGACGACGAAAGACGAGAGCGCGAGCGGCAAGCTAAACTATCTGTCGAATCCCGTACGGAAACTGTGATTGGCGTGCCGCATGAGATGGAAAATTTGAAGTCAAAAACTGTGTTTGCCGAGTACGAGCCGAAGGTTGTTGGTGGTGTCGTGCTAGGTTTCGAAGAGACTGCATTGCCCGGACATGTGCCAGTGGAGCGTACGAAGAGCGATCCAAATCCGGCACGGCAAAGATTAGGATCCAGCAACAGCAAGAGGCACATGCTGATGCACCAGAAATCCATAGATTTAACACCGGCCGACTCTGGCGATGAAGAACCGTTTTCGGACAGTGCAACAATACAGAAAAACAATGTCGATATTCCATATACATTGCATAAGAGACATGTTATGAATGGCACCGCATCTGATGAAAAATCCGAATCGGATAGCAGTAAAACTTCGAGGAATATCAAGAGTCTCGCCAAAGATTTACCGAAGTTACCACTGAAGATGGTAACGGATCTCCCATATTTCGATTTAACTAAGCTTTCCTCGATAGAAAAGGCCAGCAATAAACTATCTCCGGATAAACCGAAGAGCGGCACAGTTACTTCCGCAAGACCAAAATCGATATTAAGCCCCTCGGATAAGCCGAAGAGTATTTTAAGTCCTACATCGAAACTTTCGCCTACAGATCCAAAGAGCATCGTTTGCAGTTTATCGCCCAGTAAGAGAAGCCCTTTGAAAGTGAAAACTCAGTCTCCTGAAAAGTTCTCACAAAAGGGTGGCTCGTTAGATAGAAACAAAGCCGAAGTTATCATCGAGGATTACACATGTAAGAAATCTTCGAGTTTGGACAAAAAGCCTTCGAAATTGTCGCCGGTGGAACCGAATATCACTATTATCTCGGCTATCGAAAAACGTTCGCCCAAAAAGTCGCCGACTGATCCTAACGTAACTATCGTCTCTGTGATACAGAAGAAGAAATCTGTCGATGGTGCGCCCAGAAGTCCCACCAGTATTGCGAAAGCGGCGGATGCCGTAAAAGCTGCTCTGAATTTTGCCGATATCGTTAGCATGGAAATGAAGCAAAATTTAGAACGCAAGGCGAAAATTGAGAAAGATAGTCTGAAAGCACCAGACGATAGTTTAGAAAAGCAAGATAGCATTGAAAAGATACCATTACCCGATATTCCTGGCGAACAGGCTGATGAGAAAACAATAGGTGATCAAGTCAGTAATATCGAACAGATGATGGTTAAAGAACGGGATCGTTCCCCGAAACGAATCGTCGATGAATTATCTGACGATGATCAAAAAAGAGATAACGTACAGTCTGTAATAGCTCAAGTTCACATACCAGCTACATTGGAAATCAAACCAGAGAAACCGCCGATTCCGGAGAAACCCAAAACATTAGAGAAGCCAAGTATTCCCGAAAAAACAAAACGTATTTTGGAGAGAATAGAATCGAAATTTTCGGAAGTTAGTAAAAATTCCGCTACACGAATATCGAGACCAAAGATCATTGATACAGGATTTGACGATTTCGTGGATCCAGTCGCCGATTTGCCTTTGGACGAAGTGCCTGTGAAACCTACTCTAGAGTTGGATAGTCTTAAAGTTCCTGAGTTCGTTCCTTTCATGCTGAGACCGCACGCGGAACCGATAAGATCGAAATCTTTATCATTGGCAGAAGAGAAGGCGCCGATCGATACCTTGCTCTCACCGGAAGTTGAAAATAAACATTTCGTGCAAGATGTCTCTCCAAAGAGAATGAGGAAGGTGAAGTCCGAACCGAAAAAGGATTTTAAAAAACAATCAAAATCGTTAGAAGGCGACAAACCGCCACTGAAGAAGAGCACATCGAAGGAGTCACGTTCGCCATCGGTGAGTACAAAAATCGACAAATCCAAATTGAAACTCGGTGAAATGCCACAGGAGATCATAATAATAGATTCGACTGATGTGGCGCCAGAGATAAGTATTGTACAAAAAGGTAGATCAAAATCCGTAACTAGATTATCTGACAAGCCATTTTCAACATCAAAGGAGGAAAAAGAAGAAACGAAGACTCGCGCGAAATCTGCGTCCGTCGACGATGAATTGATTAAGGGCACGATAAAATCTGAGAAATCGAGACCGAAGTCATTGGGAATATCTAAAAGTTTGGGAAGTACGGAAAAGAAAGATTCAGTAGAGAAAATTTCGCCGAAGAGAATCAAAGCTGCTGCCAAGGCAGCTGCCGATAAATCTGCTATGGCAAAAGAAGCAATGCCAAAACAGGATACGAAAATAGCACGTGGAAAAGTGGCTTTGAAAGTGGAAGCGACTAGCGAGGAAACTGCTGCTGAATCAAAACAATCTAAACAAGAGAAGGATTCTAAGCCGTCTGTTAAACCTGATGTAGTGATTGATCAGCCAATGGATATTAAACGAGCAACGGAGTCCAAGGAAGTGATTAAGGAATCAGATAAAGAGTCAAGCAAGGAACAAATTAGTATAAAGAAAATAACGCTTGTACAGGATTTAACTCAATCTTCTTTAGTCTTACGGAAACCAGGACAGACACCTATTCTGTTTGCTCGCGCACGTCTTGGTCTTTCGGAAGGTAGCGGGATTGGCGCTCTTCAGCGTCAAGGCGCAACGCAGTCACCTACTGCTCAGCGGCGCGCGAAATCTTTGGACGCCGCCGTAATCTCCGTGCACAGACTACCGCCAGCGAACGCATTCTCCAGCAAAGATGACACAGTGGATGTGTCGGAGAATCTGGAGGATCAAGAGAACGCTGCTCAAGGCGCAAGTACGGTATCAAAAGTGCTTTCAGTTCAGATGGAAGCCTCGCCGAATCACAAATCCGACAGTACCGATCACACGACCGTGCCAGAGATATGTACGGATTCTTTGTCTGTTACCGAGACTTCGACGCAGTATCTAGAGTCGCCACTGACAGAATGTAACGAGATTGTTCCTTGTGTTGATTTTTATGAGGGACAAGAAGGCAGTCAAATGCCTTTTGTGAGTTCCATTAATGGAAACAGAATGCAAACGGTCATAGAGAGCGCTAAAATGGAGGAAGCAACAAAATTCATCGATCAAAGTTCCGCCGAATCCGGTGTTGAACAGGAAGCATCTCAGGAGAGTTCCGATGCAAAGGTTGACACAACAAAAGGTACTCAATTGGATCAAGATCAATCAACAATCTCTACAGTCTTCGTAAAGAGCGCTAGCACAGAAGCTATTTGTAGACAAACTGAATCGCCGAGCGAAGTTTCTGATGGAGAGACAAATGCAAAAATTAGCGAAACTGTATCACCAAAATCTTCTTCACCTCGTCCATACGACTTTCATGTCAGAGTTGAAGGTTCAAGAAGTCCGTCTGAGAGAGATGATGTACCTGATGTTACTATAAGTGCAGCTCGAGAGGACATGTTTTTCTTCAATTATGATCAGGATGATCCTCCAGATATGGTTAAGTCACCAATACAAATATCCATTGAAGAATGTTCCGACGACGATATGAACCAGGAGGAGGAAGAGGAAGAAATAGTAGAAGTACGAGTGGAGGACATCGACGAACGAGAAGAAGAGGAAAATAAACGATTGGACTCTCTTGATACGAGTGAGGATACGCTCGATGCGCTTGATACGCAAGTGCAGACCCGAGGTGCGGATAGCGAGTTAAGTTCACCGGACTATGGTATTGATAAAATGGATGAGAAAACATTGGTCGAAGTTGAATTGACGCCGGAATACCTGGAGATGAAGAAAGAAGATGAAGAAACGCCGGAAGAATTACCGGAAGATGAACCAGCGAAAGAGACTGTGGAGATTGCAGATTCCAATCGTCTCTCCATCGACAGAAAACTCAGACTGAGCACTGAACGTTCGAGAAGCGAAGAAACCAACACTTGGACACCAGACAGAGAAGACCCAGACTCTAGTTCATGTTCTATCGCTCGACCATTAGGAATCGGTCAAATACAACCTATAATAGATCGTCGGGAAATCGCTATGATCGAAGACGCCCGTGACAATGGTTCCTTGGATGATGACAGTAACGGCACGCAACCTCCTCCAAAGCAAGAAATGAACGTCACGTGGAAATCATTCCCGCAAGGAAGCTCCGGTAGTTCCAGTCTCGAGGACGGCTGGGTGCCTCAGGACGAGAGCAACGCACAGCAATCGCAATCTGAGGACAGCAACGGTCAGAACGAGGATAGTTTCCAAGAAGACCTAGCGGACTTTCCTGGCACCTTTATCATTGGTCCCGAAATATTAGCTAATTATGGCGCATTTTCACTTTCACGTACGCTGTCGAGAATATCCGAACGATCGACTACGTCAGAGCAAGACAGAAGCGACTTGGAGGACTCCTTTAAGCCCAGTTCGAGGTCGCCGAGTCTCGACGATGAGTCTTTGATGTCAAGCGATCATCAGCCATCTCTATCATCGGATCCTCCATCTGGTACGGCGTTACCATCCGTTTCTGATGATCGCAGAACATCTTCCGAGCTGCCAGATATTCCTATCGACGTGGTTAGTGCGCATGAGGATGACTCGAAATCGCCGCGAACGACTAGGCGATCACGATTGCAGTTGCAAAGTTCCGAGGACTGGCCATCGCCACCCAGTTCACCTGTTTTTGAAACACCGGTAGTGAGTCACGTGGAGACATTTTATATGGAAATCAAACCGGAGGAAGCCGTCAAGGTGACTGTTACAGACAGTACGGAGACGCCCGTTCATGCGGAACAAGATAGTGATTCCAGTGACGAGAATAGAACGTTGCATGATGATCTACATTCGACTCTGTTGGAGGATGGACAAAGTTCGACGTCTGTGACAACAGCTGACGGTACAGTCAAAATCGCGGTAAAACCGAAATCGAATTCATATATAACTGGTTCGTCACATAGTGAGGACACATCGATGGGCTTGTCTATGTCCGAATGGTCCAGCTCAAACAACACTGTGCGTCAGTTTTGTCAGTACTCTGGTACGAAATCTGACGACAACTCGCTTGCGGAACTTGGCGCTTCGATCTCAGACTGGTCAGGTAGCACAACGGTGATACCACAACAATACTACGCCACAGCCGTGGATAAAAGTCAGAGTGACACCACGACATCCGAGAGAAGTGCGACCAGCATGAGACCAAACTCGAAATGTCAATCTGCAGATACTTCCTCCCTTCCATCTCCGCCATCTCCGTCTTCACTACCGCTACCCGTGTCGCCACCACTGCCTTCTCCACCCGAGACAGTTACTTCCTCGTTTCTTCATGAAGACGAAACCATTGGTTCTACGACCAAACAGCACGAGACTTTACAGGCCAAGACTACTATCGAGAATGATGACGATCTACATCAATCTCAAACGCACGGTGACGAGTTCGATGAGGCGCGACGTTTTATTGAGAGCCAATTCGATGAACATCATCATCTGCGCCGATATGATGACGAACAGCAAAGCGTTTGTCCCCAAGAATTCGCCGACACTTCGCCACCTCGTATCACTCTTCGAAATGAGTACGACGAGGCCATCGACGATGATTTCCAAATGATTCCAGACGAAGATACGATCTGCGTTGATGACACGGCGTTACCAATTCCCGAAGAGGATGAGGAGGATCAATTGTACGATAATGTGCCCGCAATGAAGTATTCTAGTAGCGAGAGAATACGGATGGAGGTCGGCCGGGGGGACAGTTCGGAAGATATGCACGAGAAATATGCCGATCTCACGTTACAATCGAGAATACCGGACGATTGGTTATCTGAAGAACGAACACACGTCTCGGAGCGAGAGAAATCATCGACGAAATCAACAGGCAAATTCGATCGCGGCTTCTCGGAACCGAGTCCACATGAAGCAAGCAGGTATCACGGCACGCGATCCACTGAACGGCCTGTGATGGTGCCGATCCGAGCGAAGTCGACCCCATATTACTCTACCACGAGTCTGAGCGGCGAATCGACTACATCTAGTCCGCCTATGCCAATCAAGACGCAGATCAGAACAAAGACGATGCCTTGTTCGTCGAGCCGTAGTCCACAGAGCGAGGGTGACACCTCCTCGAGCATGGATAGCCCGGCGCACACGCCCGATCGGGGTCAACGGGCATTCCGCCGGAAACGACAGCAGAATGCTAAGAGGCGACACCGCGTAGTAGTCGATCTTGAGATCAAGGATGGCCATATAATATCCAGCACTGATTCCAGTTTCGACGTGGCAACTATACCGCCACCGCTGCTACCAGAAAGTCAGAATCTAGACGTAGACGATGACGAGGACGATGAGATGTCCCTCGAGACGAAGGATGAACATCATCGACAGCAGCAGCGTTGATGTAGCGTCAACGATCGACACTAAACAGAAATGCCCGAGGAAAAGAAAAAATTGAGCACAATCGGTCACACTCATTCGGGGCTCAAATTAGCAGAATTTATAGGCAAGTTCTCAGTCATATGGAATTGAACGCACTTTAGAATTGACAGACTCCATATGTTGGCACTCTCGACTTATGTCTGTCGCGCGAAAGATCAAATGGGAACAAATCTCGATGACTCGGCCTGATCTTCTGCAATCTTGATTCAACAACGACGATTTGCCCGGCGAAGTTTTGCGCTGAGTGGCAATCGAGAATCGAGAAGTTATACGGGTATGAATGACATGAGCGAATTAACGACGATGAAAGCAGGACAGACGTAAGACGAAGACAATGTTTGTCGTTCCGGCTGGAAAGCCCAAGGCTGAATGATCAAAAGCTGCGCGAGGAAGGTAGCATAATTATATCGTTAGGGATACGGTTTGTTACGCATTTTAGAGACCCGATTTACTTTGATATCACGATAGAACCCCTTTGATCCCCATCGCCCAATAGATATGAGTATACTTTAGCGAGTAATATTCATATATAATATACGGGAAGTGAAATATCTTAACTATCGTGATCAGCGTGCCCGTGGACTCGTTGGAAAATGATAATCGTTACTTGCGACACGTTATATCCTATTAATAATAATGGTATAAGGCATAGAAATTGAAAAATCGACGTAGGATTTTTGAAGATAATTGTAAACTTAAAAAAAATTTAAAACGAGCTGTGTCATCGCGTATCATTTTTAACCCTTTAATCGGCTTGAACTCTTTTGTTTTTTTACATGAGATATTGCTAAGGATAATTGTGCAAATACTTGAATGAATAACGTAAATATTCTTTTCTTTCTCCTAAAAAAAAAAATTAATGTAACTTTGTTACATATAATTATATTCACTCCCACGTGATCGTGCAACCGTTATTGTATCATGCTGTAACGACGTTATATAAATCAGCGCTAAATCACTGCGTCGCGAATACACGACGTTTTATTCGGTCGCGCTACCTTGAAATTCATTCAGGACAATCAATCGCGAGCAACGGTCGCTCGAAGTGGAATTCCCTCGAGGGAGAAACGAGGAAAATGAAACACGGAATTACATAAGGTCGTCCGGGCGATTATTTCCAGTTCGAATTGAATTCCGAACAGCAACGACAACAGCGATCCTATGATTACGCGATTTGCTTCGCGCACGCGAATTAGAAAGGAGAAGAAGAAAAGTTGCTCAACGTAGATACGTAAACGTGATGCACCGCGCCTTCTCGCGTTTTTAATGGCGCTGGCAGGTGCATCTCCGGTATATATCTCCTGCATGTATGGAATTACCCTCGACGAACGAGAGGAGCATCTGTTAATCTCGTTAATAGACGTTGGTGATGGACCAACCGAGTGGTAGCCGCTAATCTCTCTGTTTTAGGTGGGAACTTAAGCCTCGTCTAATCATTAATCCATGAGACTTATTCGCCTAGCGACAAATATATTCGCAAGATCAGGCCGGGAAATCTATGCTCTATATTAAAATTGTTACTGGGCGATTATTTATCGCCGATACTTATTTGAGAAGAAGATTGCAGGTAGAAACACGTCTCGGCTGTTTCCGGAAAACCTTATACTTTTCTTTTTTTCTTTCGCTCGTTTAAAAAAATTTCTATTTGAGACTAATACAATCCGTATGTATATTATATTTTTTATTGTTCACAATTATTCTCTTAGGTAATTTTGATCGGTAATTTTGAGAAAGAAGGAGAGAAAAAGATCGGCTTTACAGTCAGTGAATTGTGGAAGAAAAGAGATGCTTCCTGATGAAGGAAACGTACAGTTTGACCAGGAAAAACTTCAGGAAGGAGTCCGACTCGAGCGAAGCAATAGAAAGTCCCATTTGGATTTCTCATTGGCTTGCATTGTGCCTAGTTTTTATACCGTATTTGTCATGTGCATAATTTAACTATGATAGCGAGGCGTGAACAATTTCGACGCGAATTACGACGCGTTTATGCTCGCACGTGCGTGTGATTTCCTTAACGCGTCTTTAGATAGGTATATGTAAATGTAGGTACAGATTATGCGAAAAAGAAAACGAGTAATATTTGTAATGTTCATATCAGACTAGAAATTAATGTTGAGATTGCATTGGAATTTACCCATCAGAAGACCAGTTAGAAGAAAGAAAACCAATATTAAGTTTAGTGAACTTTGCTTCGATTGGTCAAATTTCAATTTATCTCAAGCTCTAGTCTGATATGAGTATTACGAATGTACGATATGTTTCCGAGATAACGATCACAATTGCAAATTTACGCGACATTGTCAGAAATGCGACTTTGCTTATTTTTGTTGAATGGATATAAGGAATCCTCGAATTGCTGCCATTTTAACTTTATTTTAAAGCTGTCGCGACACTTGTTTAGTGTTTTCATATACTTTTTATATATTTCAATTTGGTTTTAATCGAATATTTTTCTTGTATACGTTTCATAAATACGTATTTAAAAAACGAAATATCGAGCTACGAACTTTTAAAATATTAGGTGCGATACCTCTTACATCTTAAAGATGAAAACAGATAAAAATAGATCTCAAACGGAATAGCAGGGTTGACTTAATTGATATGGAACTAAGTAACTTTTACTACTCCTCCTGTTGTAGAACGTGGTTATTTATAAATGGCAATTGAAACATTATTTTAATTTTAAAGGCTTGTTAAAGTATGTCCGAAAAAAAGTATCTTTGAATAGATTCGTGGTAAATATAATTCATTACAGCAATAATTCGTCAATAATTCGTTCGGGAATTGCAACATGATTACGAGGCGAAATCGTTATGTACTCTTAATATATCGGAGATTCTTGCCATATCATCGTTATTATACACGGCTCCATTAAAATCGTTATCTGATGATCGTATATTACGATGAAAGGGATACATAGTGTGAAATATTTGAGACGCATACAGAAACGAACGTTGAGTACCGATAAATGATGGCATGCTTTATTTGGCAAACTTTCAGTTTTGATATCCGCGCATGTTCCGAGCCAAAGGCTTAAATGCGAACGAGATTTACTTCAGGATTACGTCGATACGTGTCAGGGTCATTGTTGGATTTTCTGACTACACTCTGTACATGTCGTTGTCCAAGCTAGGAATGACAGTTATCCCGGAATTGTCCGAAGCGAGACCATCGGAATGGCTGTTGCCGAATCACTTAAATAGATCGCGGTTTCGGCAATTCCACGATGGTCCTAATTTGGAGCATGACATAAAAACGATAGATGGCTTATCTGACCACGCACGAGAAAAATAAATCTCCAAAGAATCTTCCGTAAATGTATCTCTATTTGGAAAAGAGCTTCCCATGACTTATCTTCGAGTTCGAAGATTTTTCCTCCTTTATCTGTGCCTATGTGATTTACGATACAATGTCTTTTTTTTCTTTCGATCTTTTTTGCAGCGATATTTAGATAAATAAATAAATTTAAATAAATTTTGTTTAAAATTATGCGTCGGCATATGTAAATTAATGAAATAAAGAGGGCTTTTGACGTGAATGTTAGGACGCTAATTTTTAAATAAAAGTTAAGTTTAAGTAAAAAAATCACATTTTGCGCATCGATAAATTTAACGATTATAGTTGTTATGTAATAACCAAGCTAAAATTCTGAATACTTTAATCTATGAATCACAATTTATTGAAAAGAATATTATTAATATTATAATTAATAAAGATAATTTTTTCTCTTTTTGAGAAATTATGGTGCAGAATCACAAATGACGAATGGTTAACATACGATTCATCTCTCCGAATGTAATCGGTGCTGAAGTCATACTGGTCTAGTTACGTTAATGTCTATAGTAGCACGGCCTGGCGATTAGTCGAATAAAATCCTTTGATGCGTGATTAGTATGTCATTATGTCTCCATTTGTGTATGAGTATCTGTGCAGCGGCGAACTCGATCGGAGACGAAACCGCTGCCAAACCGCTGAGACGAAATATGGCGCAAGTTTCCCGTTTCATTACGAAAAGAAAATAATGTAACATCACTTTCATCAATTCAGTTTATCCGATTGAAAATTTTTTCTCCTTTTCATTCTCTTTACTCCCTTCTTCCTTTTTTTTCTCTTTTTTTTTCCTTTTTTTCTCACTTTCATGATTTTTTTCTGTTCATTCGCGTTTGCTCCATCGAATTCGCCGTAACTCATTATATTGGTACGTCCTCCTCGTTTCTTGGCTCCTGCATTTGTGCATCGTCAGATTCGGTTCTGTCATCGTATGATATTGCACCTAGAGCAATATTTATAGTCCGATCTTAAATTTAAGATTATTTTAATTACGATTTTAAGATATAAAGTTAGTTTCATTGGTTGATGGAATTTTAAGATCTAACACCAGACTTAAGACGATCAAGTTCGGATTATGATATTACTCCTAGAAACACTCTAATCAGAATAGAATAACTTTTAAGATTATTTTTTAAGATTATTTAAGAATATTAACTCTTAAGATAGTAACTTTTAATTGCTATTTTTCCATTACTGGTTTTCAATTCGCGGTTTTCATTTTTTGACATTTCTATTTTTTTAAACATAACAAGTAAATTAACACTTTAAAAAGATATTTTATTAACATTTAATTCTCTTTTAATATTATATCGAATGATGTAGTTTCTTTATAATAAATTTTGCTGGTAAAATAAAATTTATAAAAATAATGTTTTTCAATAAATTTTATATAAATAATACTCCATGTAAATTAACATAATTTCTGTATAAATTATAATTTATACAGAAATTATTAAATTATAATTTCATATAAAACTAATTAATATTTTAGACTAATTTAAATAATTAAGTAAGCAAGCAACCTGCAGTTGCAATTTATGAGATATTTTTACGTTTTAATATGTTAATAAATAATTATCCATGTTTGATTAATAATTTTCATAGTTAATTAAATATATTTCTTTTTCTATTTTTATTGTAATATATAATTTTTAATATCTTTATTTTTTTTAGAATTATAAAAAGAGAATATTTAAATGACATTCAGAAAATCTCAAAAATGCTCTTTCAGCTTTCT